GGTCACACTTTGTCGCCTGCCTCTTGCCCTGATTTCCAACATCTGCCCCACAGAAAAGCATGGAGCCAAAAGGCCAGTCAAGTAGCGAGCCCAGCCTGTGACTGCATAGGTCTGCCCCGCTAGTTCTGTCTTCTCTGCTTCCCTACTGTGCACGAGCTCTGGGGTACAGGCACTAGTACCCTGCCTGGACCACATGACCTCTGTCTTTCTCTTCCGCAGTGGAGAGTCCATGGAGACTCGGGTAGCTATAATACAGCCTTTTGGAGCAGCAGCTTATGGTCTAATGTTCTGGGCACAGAAGAGACACAAAGGAAAGATACTGTCCCCAGTCACATCCACTGCCTTAGAGAGAAAAGGCATCCTCTATGAGGCACAGTGACAAATGCACACAGTAAAAGGTCACACATGTTAGGGTCAGGGGGCTGTCTGCCAGGTAGCTGGAGAACAGCAGACAGAGAGAAGGTGCCTGTCCCAGAAGTGTGGCCATGGAGGGCAGCCAGGGTGTACATGGCTAAGGGGTAGCATCTGGGTAGCTCCTCCTCAACCTCCCTTCTTTGCACCCCAATGTATCCCGGAGTATTCCATGGGCTTCCTTCAGGTCACACAGCTATGGCACCCACTGGCCCACTCTCTTAGGCATGGCATCTTCTCCATGCCAAGGGGCCTCCCTCCCAGTCAGTATCCAAGGCTTCCTGTTTTCTCAGCAAACAATTTAATACACAGGAGTAGGGCTCTGGGAAGGCTGGAGGGGCCGGCAGCAGAACATTCTAAAGCGAGAGTAACTCCCATGACTTTAATCAGTTGAAGGAATGACAGGGAGCTTGGAAGGGATCCCCAGGTCTGCTGAGCAGGAGTAAATAGCATTAGAGAGGTCGGGGTGTTTCATGGGGGCTACATAGACACAGACCTGAACACAGAAGCCACTTCTGAGCGCTAGATAGTAGGTTCCATGTCAAAGGAAAGATCTAGCAAGGGCTGCAGTTAGGATCTGGGTGTAGAAATCAGGAGGTCGCGGCTGCCACTGACACCACCTCTTGACAACAATGGGTACAGAGAATAGACCAGAACACAGAATGTAGCTGTCACCCAGACTTTCTGGTCTGTTCCCAGAGTCCCCAGCAGCCTGCAAGACCCCATAGAAAGCTTGCACAGGCCACAACGGGGCTGCAAGTGACGACTTGCCCAGAGTTTGGACCTGGTGCAGGCTCAAGGCTACTTTCTGTTCCAGCTGCATCTCCTTGGTGCCCTGGTAGTCTGGCTGGGGCCCAGAGGGGTGAAGTCTGAAATGGAGTTGTTTAGTTTCCCGGCCTTGCAGAAGGAAGTGACCAGGGTTGGGAGGCTAGCAGTTACATCTCTCTATCCACAGCAGCTTGGGGAGTTCCTGGGGGTCCCAGCCAGCCTGAGGATCCCTTACTCTACTCTGCCAATCATCTCCCTGTGGGATGTAAGTGCCCATCTCTCCTCTCCTGGACCCTACCTGGGCCTGTTAACCTTGTGCTGCTGGGTAGAATGTCTCACTCCAGTCAGTGTTTGCTGACTCCTGCTGACCCCTCGGTTCCCACAACCCCGCTACTTGACAACTCATATTGGCATTAGGGATTAGTTAAACTGTCTATGTCTTCCCACTGCTTAAAAGCCTTCCATTGCTTCCAGTAACCAAAGGATCATACCCAGATGACCCCACTATCCTGCAAATCCAGACTCCCTACTATCCTGCAGACCCAGACTCGCCCACTATCCCACAGACCCAGACTCTCCCACTATCCTGCAAAGCCCTTGCCAGCCCCAACTCTAGCTAGAAGGAAGTTCCCATCAACACTCGGCACCAAACCCTCCCTCTCTCCACATCTGATTTCCTCTGCCTAGTGCCCTCTTCTCCTGCTCCAAGTGGGTAGAGCCCAGGCCAAAGCTGCCTTCCCCAGCAGGTGTGTTCTCAATACACTTCTGACTCCTCCTCAGTTTCTTCTGAAGGGCAGCTCTTAGATGTCCTTGACCCTTGACCTGGCCTTCATGACCTCTGCAAACCCAGAATTCATGCCTGGCATAAAGAGAGACCCAAGCCCCAAGCACAGCTCTCTGGCTGGATTCACGGTGGGTTTTTTTGTTTGTTTGTTTGTTTTTTAATGTGAGTTTTCCAGTTAGTGAGAACTTAGGATGGGGTCTCCCCAGGTTTACACACTCTCCTTATTCTCCTTTAGGTGGTCAGAGTTGGAATAGTTCCTCAATTCTGTTTTATAGGTGGGGAAACTGAGGCTTGGAAAGAAGACAGGCAGAGTTGAGAACAGACACAACCCCAGAGGTAGCAGATCGCCCCAGGTCAGCACAAAGTGCTACAATTAAGTCCCTACCAAGAGGGGCCTTTTGATCCAAATTATACAGCCCCAGTGTTCCCGAGCAATTAACACTGGGGCCACAGGCGGTACTCACAGCTGGTGAGGCTGTGTGGGCGACGGGAGGCATTATCATCTGGTGCCATGTCGCCTGCCCTGTCCAGCTTCTGACATAGGTCCAGCCCAGTACGGCACAGCTCGAGGGCCACAGGCTTTTCATGCTGTTCTGGTGAGCCCCCTAGGCACCTGTCCATGGTAGGCTGCAGCCTGGGCCCCCAGATATAGAAGGGAAACCTCTAATGGCCTGGTTCCCCTTTGCCTTCTTTCATACTGCCTCAACTCTCCCCCATCCCACAGAGAGGCTTTCTTTGCCCACCCTAATTAATCCTACACACACACACACACACACACACACACACACACACACACAGGCACGCACGCACTTTCCCCTGCACCTCTCAGGAACCTGGCTCACAGTAGACATGTAAGAGTGGTTTGTTGATTCAACACGCATGAATATTTGAATGCCGGTAATGAATGGCATGTCTTCAAGGTCCCCTTGCCCCTCCCCCAGCCTCTGGGTGCCACTGTGCAGAACCTAGAAGGAAAGACTGTAAGGCTACTGAAAGCAACAAGAAAAGTGTCCAGCAGGGCCTGGGCTTTTAGTGGAGTCTCAACAACTTTTCTTCTTGCCCTTCCCATGGGGATGGGGAGGTGTTCCCTCGCCCAATTCCTGCAATGGCACTTTCTAGCCATTTAATATGACGTCCTATCTTTGAGTGAATGCTGGGATCAGATGGGTGTGCTCCCTCTGATGGAGTCACATCACCCACACAATAGCCAGGAAGCTCAGCACCTTTGGTGTGGTTACTATACACAGCCTAGCGGGAGGGGTTCGCTAGTCTCAGTGGGAGGTCGCTGTAGGTTAAAGTTGGGAAGGAGAAAGCAACAGAGGCTGGTTTTTGCAGTCACTTGGGAAATCATTAGGAAACACTTGTACTTGCACATAGTGTCAACATTCACACCTGGAACAGACGGAAGCTTTGCCATTCCTGTGGATCTGAAGTACTGGATTCTTGACATGGCTGGGCTCTCGTGTCAATGACACACTTTCAATCAGGGCTCTCTCCGTTCCCCACCCTGTGACTCTTCACGTGTGGGGGTCGTTGCTCCAGAACTAACAGTCTGTGTGGCTGGGACGATCAAATGTATGTGCAGTAAGAAAGACTCTCCAATAACGACCTGCATGGGCCACTCCTGAGGCCGTACCAGCAAGCAGCATGGCTCAGCTCTGTAGCCCACTTTGTTAAACCAAGAACCCAGGTCTCTGCTCCTCAGCTGGTCTCCAACTTTCTAGCCTGTCAGCAGTGCCGCCTGATGCTTGCTGGCTTTGAGTTTCCGAGCATTTATCACTCTCAGGGAGTTCACTATGGAAAGCTCAGACCAGAAATGCTGAAGGGTGTGAGCGAGGCACCCTCAAAGTGGAAAAGTGTACTGTCACGGTCAAGGCTGAACCCCAAAAGCCCTGCAGCTGGGCTGGGGCTTCAGAATGTCTAGAATCAACCCGAGCTGTGTCCCCAGCATTGGTCGATCACGCCCATTGGCTGTCCCAGAGAAAGGGAACCTTGGTGACCTTGGGCAACCTACTCCCTTCCAAAAAGACAGTCCCTGGGGGAGGGGAGTGAAGAATTAGGGAATCATCAGAGCTTCATGCACAGAACACCCAGGCACCCAGCTTCTACGAAGACTGCAGTCCCTAGAGGACTGCATCCCAGGGGGAGACACAGCCCCCGGGGTCTGGGTGAGGCGCCTGCGGCCTTGGTAATGCACTTCCACAGTGTGTTCAGGGAGCAGTTTTCAGTGCACCTCTGTTTTGGGGCTCCGTGCTTGGGATGGGCCTTGTACTTCCTCTAGGGGACAATTCAGGCCCATGCTTTTGCCATGTTTCTTGGCCTTTTTACCTCCACAAAGTGCACGTTTCCCACCTCTGCGTTCTTCACCACAGCTACTTTGTGTGACATTGACTGTTCTGCTCCTCTCCCCGGGGCTTGTGATGACATGAGCCCGGAGACATCCCAGCATGCCCTCCCTACCTCAGGATGCTGACCTTTGTGACACCTGGTAAGTCTCCTTTACCACAGTCAGGGACCTGCTCAGGGTCCTAAGGCTTAGGATATGGGTGACTTTTGGTACCTACCATCATGATTTTCAAGAATTTCTTCTGTCAAAGGCAAAAGTAGGGACAAATGTGGGCACTGAGGAATGAAATTGACGCAGATATACTGAAGTGCGTGTGTGCCCCAAGGATGAGAGTGCTGGACGCTGCAGGAACATGGGCATTTGGACCACACGGCTCGCCAGAGTGAGCACCCTTGACTTGGTGTTTTCTGTCATCTTGACATCTGTCAGGAACAGCTCTTAGGAACCCCACCATTGTGTTCATAGACTCAGTGCTGTGAAATGTAAGAAAAACTGTGTTCTGTAATTGAAAATTTCATTTAGAAGAGAAACCCCAACTAGCCTTGCCCTGTTCCACATTATTTACTATGACATCTTGGCGCCTTTCCCAGAGCCCTGCATCTTTCACGGCCAGGCTGTCCCACCCTGGGGTCTCCATGAGGCACAACACAGGAGAAGCATGGGGCCAGCTCTGCTTCAGGGACTGGGGACTGGCGTCAGCAAGCCTAGACTGATGAGCTGGTCCTGAGAGGAAGGACTGCTTCAGCTGGTAAAGCGAAGAGTGTGGAACATAATAAGGTCATAAGAGGGTAGTCACGGCATCATGGAACTGCCTGGAAGATTCTAAAAAGTTCTAGAATGGAGATATTTCAAACAGGTGCCATGGAAATGGGGAAGGCCAGAAGAGAGAAGGAAGGATACTACAACTCAGGGTGGAAGTGCAAGAATTGTGGAACTCCTCACAGATTATCAGGTTAAGACTACTGCTGCCCTGAAGAGATGGCTCAGTGGTTAAGAGCACTGGGTGTGCTTTCTGAGAACCCAGGTTCGATTCTTAACACCCACACAATGGCTAACAGCCATCTGTAACCTTAGTTCCAAGGGGATCGATGCTGCTTTCTGACCTCCTTGTGCGTGGTGCACAGACACACATGCAGGCAAAACATCCTATATGTAACAAGATCCCTAAAGATTGCTGCCTCCAGCTCTCTGAGAAGACACAGCAGGAGGGACATGTTTAGTCACCCGGGAACCAGAACCCAAGGTTTGGGTTCTGATTTCAGCCTGAACTCCTCTTACTCTATTGTATCCGGCTTGTTTCTTTAGTCATAAAGGACAGCACAGTCAAGAATCTACCATGTGTTAACTCTTGTTACCTTCCCTGGCCAACAGCTGACTAGGGGAGAAGCATCCAGATGATAAATCGCCTTGGTTCTCTTGGGAGATTGTATACATCGTCTTCCCACTTGAAAGAATATTGGACTTGAAACTCATGAGATGTATTAGTCTTCTTTCATGTCTATATATGACTGAAAAGTAGAAGGGGATTTGGTGAGGGGGCAGCATGCAACGAGGTGTCAGCAAAGGACATGGTATGCATTTGTGAAGGTGTCAGAGTAAAATCCACTATTTTGTTCACTGATTTAAAAACTTTTAGTAAGATGTGTTTCCGTTTATCACTTATTTCAAAACCTTTTAACTTTTTCTTTTGATATCTCTCTTTGAGCTTTTGGGTACTTGAAAGAATGGTAACTTGATTAGTCTGTAAACCTTGGGGCTGGAGAGATGGTTCAATCAGCATTTTACCGGTTGCTTAAGTATGAGAACATGACTTTAGTAACCAGAGCCCGTCAGCAACATTGCTGAGCTCTGGGTCCTAGTGAGAGAACCTCTCTAAAAAAACAAAACAAAACAACAACAAATCCACAAAGTAAGGGCTGGAGAGATGGTTCAGCAGTTAGGGCACCTGCTGTTCTTGCAGGGGACCCAGGTTCCCCAGTACTCACAGGGTAGCTCACAGCCATCTCCAGTTCCAGGTTATCTGACACCCTCTTCAAGCCTCTGAGGGCATCAGGCATGCATATGGTGCACATGCATACATGCAGACAAAACACTCACACACATAATAAATCTAATTTTAAAAAATAGCAAACAGGCCATTCCAAAGGACATAATACTTTTACGTGTTCAATAGAGCTTGTATCAATATCAGTGGCGCCTTAAAACATATGAAGTAGTCAGGCCTGGTGATATAAGCTTGGAAGTCCAGCTACAGTAGGCTGAGGGGGGAAGACAACAAGTTCAAAGCCAGCTTGGGCTGCCGAGTGAGCTTAAGGTCAACCAGGGTAACTTAGTGAGACCCTGTCTCAAAATTTGAAAGAGTGCTGGGTGTCTGGCTCAGCAGTGGAGAGTTTGCCTAGGATGTGTGAGGCCCTACGATTAGTTCCCAGGGCTGCATCCAAACCAACCATGAACTCAGGACTGACAGAACTGCAAAGTTCAACTAGCCATTCCTTTGCACATCAGACATGCAGGGCAAAGGTTACCAAGGACATGAAAAACTCAGCTGATGTTTCTGGAATAGTCTATTCAGCGAGAGCAGTATACACATTTTTAAGTACTCAGAAAGTATTTAGCAAAATAAATCATAGTCTGGGTCTAAAAAGAAATCTCAGTGTATTTCAAAGGGTCGTATAAATAATGTTCTTTGGTCACAGGGAATTAACGTTGGAAATGACTACTAGAGATTTAGAAACTTAGTGTGTGTGTGTATGTGTGTGTGTGTGTGAGAGAGAGAGAGAGAGACAGAGAGAGATAGAGACAGAGACAGAGACAGAGAGACAGAGAGCGAGCCCACACACATCTGTGCCTGGTGGCTTCAGAATATCAGAGCCCTTGGACCTGAAGCCCCAGATGGTTGTTTGCCATCTTGCGGGAGCTGGGAACTGAACTCGGGCTCTGGAAAAGAACAGCCAATGTTCTTAACTGAAGAGGAGCCGTCTCCCTGGCCCCACCCCACCCTTATTTTAAAATGACTGCTCTCTTTAGTGAGGGTCTTTACTATGAAATTGACCTTGATGCTAAAATAACCCTGCTAGCTTTCTTTTCTTTAGCGCCAAGATGGCCATTTTCCATCTTGTGTGTTTTCCTGGTGGTTCTCTGGAGGCAGCTTTTTCTTTTAAATTCATCAGGACAGTATCCGCCTATCAACAGACCCTTCAGGCCAGTCACAGTCACTGTAAACCTGCCATCTTGCCGTTTATTCTTCATTCTTCTCCCTTCTTCTTTGACGACATCCTTCCCATCCTCTTTCATTTTAAATTTTAATTATTTCATTATAGTTCATGTATTGACTTATAACCATTCTGTTTCTTTACACACTTTGAGCTTATGTACATTTTTTTAAGTTATGAAAACAATTATTTTAAAGATTTTGTTTTTAGTATGTGTGTTGGTGGGGGGAAATGGGCATGTGCGTGCAGGTGCCCTCAGGGACCAGAAGAGGGAGTCAGAGCCCCTGAAGCTGGAGTTACAGGTGGATGTGAGTGCCCAGCATGGGTGCTGGGAATCAAAATCAAGAGGAACAAGTGATCTTAACTACTGCAGCATCTAAAGGCCATTAAAAATAATTTAAAAAGGTTTTATTATACCACTTTCCATACAGGAATCTTTTCCTTTTAAGAATTTCTTATCTTCTCTGTGATGCCCCTTGAGGAATAGTCCTTCATATTTTTTGTACTTTGTGAGTTACAGTTCTCCTCAATTTTGGAAGAATTTAAGCTATTTCTTTCCCATCTCTGCACTCCTTTTCTGGATACATATTAGGATACATTAGCATATCGACGCATATATTAGCATAACATCTTCCACATATATTTGCATACTGAAAGTGGTCACAGGCAGGGTTTTGGAGGTTTCATTTATTTAATACCATCTGTTACTGTGTCTTTGTTTCTCCTGCTGTAACTTTTAAGCTTCTGTTAACATTACTTTTGTCTGGTTTTCCTGCAGACATCTTGTCAATCATTGAAGTTCAGTTTGGTTTCTCACTTTGTCTCTGTGTTTCACCTCGCGGGCTTAGTCCTCTCCTTCTCCCGGGATGTTTTCACACGCGTTCTTGTCCCTTCCCTCTGTCACCCTTGTCATTTTGTTGTTGTTTTTGTTGTTCTGTTGTTTCGGGGCACTGTTTATCTAGTCGTGTATTTTATTTCTCTGCTCCCGGTCATTTTCTCCCACTCAAGTCCTAAGCAAACCCAACCATGTTTAGCTTCCAAGCTTCCAAGATCAAGCATGTTCAGGGTGCTGTGGCATAGGCTTATGCCTGATAATTCCCTGTGCCACGTATTATGACTTGTTTTTACACTCTACATGTATGCCTGAGTTGTGTTATTTTTTTTTTTTCCTGCAGAGCAATTAGGTAAAATGTAGAAACCATTTGTTCTTTCTGAGGTTTGTTTTAAATCTTTGTGAGATGGTATCAGGACAGCCTTTAGTCTAGGGCTAATTTTACCCCTTCCTGCGGCAATAAATACCTCTCTACACTCCCTGCCAGACAACTATGAGGCCTTTCCACCCTGGCTGCTGCAAGCACTAACTACCCCAGACCTGCTCAAGCTCTGGGATTGCTCCTTCTAACTCGAGATACACTCGATCAGAGGCTGAAATCTGGCTGCCATCTTTTTAGGTAGGATTCTGCTTCCTCTTTAGCGGACAGACAACAGCCATGAAAACAGCTAAGGTTTACAGAGATCATGAGAGTTCCCGTCACACAGATGTGACTTGGAAATTTTGGGTCTGTAAACCCAGGAGTCTGGTGGGCTTTTCCTAAGGACCCTCCAACCGAACTAATGACCTTGAGGAGACGCCCTGGGTGTGGCCGAGAAGAGTCTTGATTTGAAGCAGTGCTGTTCAACCTAACACATCCTGGTGGGAAGTTAGGGTCTAGTGTGAGTGAGTATTCTTCCCTCCAGCCCCATGCCTGATTCCCCTGCATCCTACTTAAGAGCGGTTTTGTCCCGGCTGGGGCACAGAGACACCCTTTTCCGGTCTAAGAGCGCTCCAGTTTTGAGCTCTCAGTGACTCAATTCTTAGCTTCTTGAGGTAGGTGCCAGTGGCCCAAGGGGTGTGTGACCGTGGTCTCCCGTGAGAATGAGCTGATGGCCTGTCCTCCTTCCCTCATCCTTGTTAGCTTTTCCTCCTACTCTAAAAAAAGGAGAATCAAGAGGTGGGGGGATGCTGATGGCGGCAGAGGTGGTGGGGGACTCTGGTGGCGGCAGAGGTGGTGGCGGATGCTGATGGCGGCGGTGGGGGGGAAGCCTTGAGCCCTCAGGGCCTCTGGGTCCTACTCTAGTAATTTCCAAGATTCTTGAGTCTTAGAAAAGTGAGTCCTGCTTGCCCTCACCTGGGTACAGTAGCCAAATTCTCCAAATCGCTAATGGAGAACATCAACTTTGTCTCCTTCACTGGATTGACTCCTCCACTGGTCCATAGCCTCCTGGAGGCAAGCAGGGAGCCAGAAGCATGGAGAGGACTTAATGACAATGACAAACACAGGAGAATTGAAGTGTAAGACAGCAGAGCATCATTGTTCACTGACCTTACAAAGGAAAAGCCATTTGTCAGTTCCCTCGGAGTCAGCCTTCAGGGAATGGGGCATGGAAGAAGCTCATGGTGATATGGTCCAAGGACCTAAGAGTGGGGCCCAAACTCTCTGCTGCTTGCTCTGGGCCACTGGCCAATGACTCCTGTCTTTATCTTTCCATGAGAATAAAAAGGCCAAGTCCTTTTCCAGACTCACAGTGGCCATGATCCCATTGATCCTGATAGGACTTTCCTCCCTGTCTACAGGCAGAAGGCGCGTCAAGGCATCCTCTGCACATCAAGGGGACTTCAAGGTGACCTGCCTGTGAGTTTGCATGCAAGGGCCCAAGTAAGACCCCCTGGGGCTGGCAGTGGTGAGCCATCTGCTGTGGGTGCTAAGAATGAACTTGTGTCCTCTGCGAGAAGAGCAATGCTCTCATCCGCAGAGCTGTCTCTTCAGCCTAGTTCTCCCTTTCTACAAGTGAGGCACTTGTCTGGGTAAAGTAGTGTGTCTGGTCAGAGGCAGAACGAGGTCCGAGCAGCTCTGTTGTGGGGTCATTGCCTCAAGTGCTTCATCCACTCCGATTGTGGTTCGTTAGTTATTCCCCTTTCATTTATTTCCCTTTTAAAGATAAGATCTTGCTATGAACCCCCAAACCCTGTCCCCAGCAGGAGCCCTCCCACTCCCCAGAATCATATATATATATATGTAATATATACACACATATATGTATATGTGTGTATATATTACAAATATATATACATATGTATGTATGCTCCTTCCCATATATAGACTATGACCACACACCCCTTGGGCCACTGCCACCTGCAGCAATCTGAGTGCTGTGGTTCCAGTCGATCCTCACACAGCCATTTAGCTGAGGGAAACAGCGCAACAATGCAGGCCCTTACCTCATACCTCACTGCTTTGTGACATCAGGGCCTGACTGTTCTGGAATGTTCTAGAGTAGTATGGGAGGTCTTAATATTGGAGAAGGGAGGAAGGAAGAGGAATAGGAGAGGAGAGGGAGGGGAGGAAAGGAGGAGGAAGGAAGCAGAGAAGGAGGAAGGAAGGAGGAGAGGGAAGGAGGAGAGAGGAGGAAGAGGGGGGAAGAGGAGAAAGAGAAAGGATGGAGGAAGAGGAAGGAGGGAGAAAGGAGGAGGGAGATGAGAGGGGAGGGGAAGGGAGAGAAGGGGAGAGGAAGGGAGGGGAAGGGAAGGGGAGAAAGGAGGGGAGAGGAGAGGAGAGGAGAGGGGAGGGGAGGGGTAGGGGAGGGGAGAGGGAGAAGGGAAGGGAGGGGAGGGAAGGGGAGAGGGGAGGGGAGGGGAGGGGAGAGGAGAAGAGGAGAAGAGGAGAGAAGGAGGCAGTCTCAGCATAGGATTCTTAGGAAAGCACACAGAGGAGATTTAGCTCTGCAAGTTAAGGAACATCTGTGAGAGAGGACCCCTAAGTTATGGAGCTCTCAAAAAATACACTGAGATGCTTAATTATTCAACTTCCTCTGCTATGAGTTAGTAAGAGTCACCAGAAACCTCTGAGCATAAGCAGTGAGTTCAGATGGTTTTCAGGAAGTTCACCTGCCTGAGTGGACCAGGTGGACCATGTAGGTGAGGGAGGGGTGCTCTGGAGTAGGGAGAGCAAACAGAGGCTAGAGACCACAGTGAAGTGGGGGGGTCAAAGAGTGGAAGGAGAGAGCAGGGAGGAATGGAAGTGGGAGCTCATGAAGGCAAAGACCCAAAGAAGCTTCCTTACCACAGGTCCTTTGCCCGGTAAATTGCATAAACTTCCTTGGAGTCTGAAGATTAGGATGGCAAGTTTCAGAAGGAACAGGTGAGTCCAGACCTAAGAGAAGGCCGGGAGGGAGGCCACGAGTGGGCGACCGAGTTTCCTACTATCAGCCAAGAGACCTTGATCAAATCTCACAGCCTTCAGCCTCCACACCTATAACAGAAGAGATGTCTGTAGTTCTTACCCAGTGCTGGCACAGAGGTTAAAATGATTTAGCACAAGGTGCTTGAATGCACGTGTTCAGGGAAGACAGTGACCATTTCCCAACCCCCAACACCGCCGTCACCACCGCCGTCATCGACAGCACCACCATCACTACCACCACCATCACCATAACCATTACCATCACCACCACCATCAACACCGTCACCACCACCAGGACCACCTCCACTATCACCATTCCATGGCAGAAACATCGATTCTCCATGAAGCCCCTAATCCTAATTTGACAAAAGGGGAAGCTGAGATGCAGAGATTGGCAGAACAGGAATTTGAAAGAGATTCTTAACCCCAACCACAGTATGCTCACCAGGACACCAACCATGAGAGAAATGATCAGATAACACACTTTCTTCCCCGGACTGCCAGGGACCAGAAGGAGATTTGATGGTCCCGTCTCCTTCCATGTGGTCTAGACTCCTTCCCCGTGCCATATCCTACGTTTCCGTGGCCGACTGGGTTGTTCTCAGACCCTTAGCAGGAACCCAGAAGGAGGATATTTCTGATCTTGCCCTTTCCTTTTTTCCTTATTTCATTTCCTTCCCCTTTTTTCTTTTCCCTCCCACCCCTTCCTTCTTTAATTGAGAAAAAAGTTTTAAAATAAAGAAGACAAGAAAAAGGCACATTAGATATAATTTTTCTTGGGAGCCTTGAAAAGCGTGGTTAATAATTGAGTTCTGTAGTGACCGCGGGGAGACAAGAGTGACTCTTACAGAAACCCCTGCCCTGGGTGCTGGTAAAATTCTTTTGCACCTCCTCAGACCTCCCACAGCATTCCTGAACAATTTGCATGGATCTGCACAGAGGAATCTGGAATCTCCCAAGCCCTCCCAGAAGTCCTGCTCTGCTTTCTGTCCATGTCAACTGCGTCTTTCTCATGGGCCCTTTCCACCAGTCTTCTGGAATGTTCATAGAAAAACCCGCGGCATTGCCAATGGATCCTCTTGAAAACCTCCTTGAGTTGCCATGTGAGCCTCGTTGAGTTCTCCCAGAAATATAGACTTCACACATGGAACATCTCCTTGACTTCCAGAGAATTCCACACTAATGCTGACAGCATGCTAAGAAAATTCCCATGAAATGCTAAGAGAATTTGCATTAAATTGTCTGAGAAACCGCAAGAGAGATTTGAAGGAAACCCTTAGCGTTCCCTGGGAACACAAATAACAGGGTTCCCCCACTAGTCAGAAGAGGAGAGCCTGTCCTTGGGCGTCATGTTGCCTTAGTGACTAGTGCTAGTCAGTGACCTAGCAAGCCACTCCCTCTGACTGCTTTCTTGGCTCCTATGGAGGAGAGATGAGGGCTTTCTTGTGTGTTTTCTAGTTTCCTGACATGGTGTTACGCTGGCCAAAGCAGAGTTACTCAGGGCCCAGCAGCCTTTATGTCATCAATCCAGCCTCACCCCGTTGAGGCCTGAGGCTCACCGTGGGCTCTCTCCAGTCATTCGTTAAACCTGACTCGGTGAGGACCTGCAATGCTGGCACATCACAGGTTTCGATGGAGCAATATTCTCTCAGCTTGGGATACAGAGACAGAAGCACCTGGGTTTCCCTGGAGTCCACCCTGGCCCCTACTGCCAGGGGACAACAATCTGGCTTTTGCAGGCCAGACTCCACAGAAACTGAATGACAAGAGCTCAGCATGGGGGACAGGACTGCCACACAAAGGAGCTGCCCAAGGAGGCAGCTAGACAGCCCCATCCAAGCTCTCCGCACACAGACACCTGCAAATGCCTAGCCTGCTCCAGCCAGTTTGGCCCTTGGCCCAGCTCTGGAGCCCGAAATAGAGACCCGTTGAGCTGATGTGTAGGCCTCATCCAGCACTCAGAACCTTCCTCATCCTGTCTTTACCCAGCCACCCAACACATGCCTTTGGGGCCCAGAGACTTGTTCCCTGCTCTGATCTGGCTTGACTCCAGCCTGTCTCTGAGGATTCCCCTCCTGACAGCTGCTCCTGGGTTCACCAAGGCTAAGCTCGGTGTCCTGGCCTTGTTCCCAATCCTAACTCATTAGGCGTGGGATGAATTATTTCAGGTCTGGCTTCCATACAGAGCACAAACTTTGTCTTTCTGCGGGGGACTCTAGGGTGCCAAGACAGTGTCTGGCACCCGTGAGGGTTGGATGGATACTTTCTGACTGACAGAACAGTGGCCACTCCCACAGAGCCATCGTGTTATAACAATAGTGAATGCTCCCCGGCTCTTTCTGATATACCTTAGCCTTCCCACGGGTGGAATACATCCGTGAAGCACGAACCCCGTGGATCAGCATCACCACATGTGGACGTAGCATCATGCGCTCATTCTCCACCAGGCCCTGCAGGAACTTTCCCTTATCTGCCACTCAAGGTCAAAGCCGTCAGATACTGCCACCCACCCTGGTGGGCCAGACAGCACGAACGCCAACAATGGTCACGAATATTCGGCTACTTCTTTCATTTGGTGTTTTCATTGTTTATATCTCACGGTTTTATCAGTTGGTGTCGCAATACCAGAATGCTTGAGACTGGGAGACTTAGGAACATCAGAAGGGGATTTGGAGACTCACAGACGCAAGAGCCTGGTGCCAGCATCTTCGCGGCATGTGGTAATGTGGAGAAAGGAAGGGACAAGGGTACAGTGGGAACCTGGCTTGACCTTTCTAATCCATCTCCACAATAAGCATGCACTTTTGGAAAGGCTCTGCTCAGTCCCCCCTTGTCTTAACCTGTTACAGCAGAAGGGAAAGCTCCGGGCATGTTTGGGAGAGGAGGTTCAAATCCCAGCACTATTCTGTCCGCTCATCCTGGAGGGTAGGAAGAAGCGGGTGTGGCTGGGGAGCAGGTGTTAGCCTGGTAGCCAGGGTCACCAGGCCTCGCCAAGACCCAAGGACAGGGACGAGGAGAGGGAGCTCTGGGCTCAACCTCGACCTGGACTTGCCGCCTTCCAAAGCAGAGGGAAGGCAGCAGATCTCAGAGCAGCAGCACAACACGCCCCTCCCCACTCCACACTCTGGCTTCTTCACCCTCGCCACACCCAAGAGCCACCTGGACTTCATTTCCTTAGCAATTCCCTTCAATTGCCTCATCTCTTAAACCCTTTAAAGTCCTAGGCAGTCACACCAGTGAGATCACACTCTGGGTGTGTGTGGCAAATCCTCTCAACAATAACCTGCTCCCCTCCTTCCTGGGGACCAACCCTCAGTTTCCTTGCTGACCACAGCACTGGTTGGAAAAAAAAAAAAAAGACCTTCCTTCCTGTCTGATTTCTCTTAAAACAGGGAGTTTACAACTTAATCCTGACTAACGGGATGTGTGACTTAAAAGAGAGGAATGTGTCTTTTGCCTTTGTTATTCCTTTTCCTGCTTTCTGGAATGTGGGCATGCTGACTGGAGGCGTAGCCTCCAGACTAGACTAGGAGGCAGCCTGCAGAATGGGAAGCTTGTAGGAAGGAAGAGGAGAGGAGAGGAGACCTCAGTCTTGCGGTTGTTCTCCCAGCCTTTGAGTTAGACGAACACCCGTTGTGATGGTTTATAGTCAACTAGACAGGATCTACACTCTCTGCAAATGTCTATGAGGAATTATCTAGGCTGGGTTAATTAAAATGAGAAGAGTCAACCTAACTGTGGACGGCACCATTCTCCAGGTCCCAGACTGCATAGAAAGGAGAAATCCATGGAGCAGCGGAGTTCATCTCTCTCGGCTTCCTGACTGGAGACACAGCGTGGCCAGCTGCCTCAGGCTCTAATTTACACTTATCGTGTGGGGGTGGGGGTGTTGGTGGCAGGGGTGCAGGTGGGGGGCGGGGGTGGGGGGTGTCTGTATGCTTACCGCTGCACACACATAGAGGTCAGAGGACAACTTGCTAGTGTCCGTTCTTTCCTTTCACTATGTGGGCCTCTGGATTAAATTGAAGTCACCAGGCTTAGCGGTAGACGCTTTAACTGGCTGCGTTGTCTCACCAGCCCGTGTCTACTGTTTTTAAGGTAAGACTCTAGCTGAGGATACACTCCATGAGTTCATGCAACCACTGTCCAAGGGCCAGCCCATGGGGAGCTTGACTCTGAGGACGCAGCTGAGGGGCAAACCTTCAGCTTGGAGCACCAGGCAGGTGGCAGATCCATTAAGTTACCAGTCGTCACACATCTAGGTCCCTCCTAAAATTCTCTGCTTCTCAGGACCCCAGGGCCCTGCATCCTCCCGGAAGTGGCCAGAAGTCAGGCATAAAGTCAGATATGAGACAAATCTCAGGTCCCTCACTGATATCAACAGCCGCACTCCAAACCCTCGAGCATCCTTCTTACTGGTCTCTGTGTGACCTCAGAGGAGGCAAGTACTCCATGCTGGAACTATTTCTAGGTCCCTTAGTCTGTTTCTGGAGTTAGTTCTTCCTGCTAGACCAAAGGTTCTCAACTTTCCGAATGCTGAAACTCTTGAATATAGTTCCTCAGGTTGTGATGATCCCCCTCCTCCAGCCATAAAATTATTTCTTTGCTACTTCATAACTATAATTTTGCTACTGTTATGAGTTGTGATGCAAATGTCTGATACGCAGGATGTCTGATGTGCAACCCCAAAGGGCCCGTGGCTTACAAGTTGAGAACCACTGTGCTAGACTCTCTGCCTTTGAGGCTAATGATTTAAACCTAAACAAACTTGCACACCATTTTGAGCTCAGCAAGGGGGGCAACCTCTTCCAGCTTGGTAGCAACAGGGTTTGATTGGCCAGTAACCCCAGGAAGCCTTTGTCTCCACCCCTCCACGCCTTCACCTGTTCTAGGTCCGTTTCTGTAGCTGTGGTACAATGCACAGCTTAGGTTGTGGTCCATCAGCACAGAGAAGTGACAGTGGCAGGAGCTCCAGCCAGCTGGTCACATTAGATCTACCTTCGAGAGCAGAGCGGATTCTTGCTTCCTTGTGCTCAGCTCCAATTCTCCACGCTTATACAGTTCATCCAGTTCATCACCCTCTGCCTAGGGAGTGGTGCCTCCCATAGTAGACCGACGCAACATAGGCATCCCCGGATTGAGACCCTTCCCAGGTGATTCTAGCGTGTATCAAGTTGGCAATTAAAGCCAACCATCACACTTCCCTAATCTACAAGTTTGGCTTCATTACAGGGTCTTTACCCTGCCGAGTTGCAAGTTACTGATCTCCGGTGAGCCAGAGCTGTGCATGAGAACCAGCACAGACATCTCTTCATGATCCCATGGCAGTGGCTCACCTTCCACTCCGGGATCAGCATTGCTAAGTAATGGGCTCCGGATGGGGGCATCTCCTCCTGAGACCTGGCCCCCGGATCCTTGATAGCATGCCCTGGGTTCTGTATATGTCATCCAACCCCTGGCTTAGGTACTTCCTGTGTAGTCAGCGGTAGTCAGCAATCCTGGTTCTTATAGCACAGAGGAGTGGCACAAGGAGCTCAGGTCTGCAGTACTAAAGAGATGGCTAACCCAAGGGTGTGTGTCTTACGCTCTAGACCACAGATAAATCAAACCCCTTCATCATCTTTGAAACTCAGCTGGCCAGAGGACATAGGCAAAGACAAGAAGCCTTTACTTCCATGCAAAACTAGATTGAATCTTCACTATGGGCCAAATGCCACTGGTGCCATTGAAGTTTTCATTCTAAGCAGGTGGCAGCTTCATGCTCTCTCGTTAGCTGACCTCTGGGATCACCTTGGACATGTTACTTTTTTTTTGTCTCTTTTTTCTTGTTTTTGAACAGGAGCAATGAGAGCATTGGACAAGTGGCTATAAAAAAGAAAAAGGAAAGAAAGTGGCTTTGCAGGCAGTGGTGGTGCACACCTTTAATCCCAGCACTCAGGAGGCAGAGGCAGGCGGATCTGTGCATTTGAAGCCAGCCTGGTCTACAAAGCAAGTTCCAGGATAGCCAGAGGTGCACAGAGAAACTGTCTCAAAAATACATAAATAGAAAGTGGATATGATGTAGCAAATGCCCACAAATGCTTTCTACTGTCTTCACAGCCTGTGGTTGACATGTACTGAGTCCCATATGTGTGCCTTTGTTCTCATGTATATTTTGCTCCATAAATGACCACACCCCAAGCATATTTGAGAATGGTTTTTGCCTCATGGAAAGCCGGAAGGGCTTTAGAGACTTGGATTTGTAAATTGGTGTGGGATTGGGCAGCTGGCGCCTTGCACTGTCCTGGCTTCCCACACTTAGGCTGTCCATCCCCGCCTGCCAGGTCATGCCAGACCAGCTGGGAGGCTGCAGAGATCTTCCCCAGCCCTGGTCCCAGAAGTCAGTGACTGGTTGAACAATGGCACTTTTCTTTCTCTTCCAGGAGGGATCAGCTATGCGGGCCTCTGCAAGAACTGTGATGACATCTTCATTTGTGGTAATGGGATTAACATGGCACCACAGAGCCTCCTGAGCAGAGAATGGGCAAGACTGCTGGGGAGGAGGGCAGGGGACCCTGAAGGCTTCAAGCTGCCAGAAAGTAGACGCCACCCAGGGTAGGGGCCATCCCTGCCCTCTGATGGATGCAGGGACTGGAAAATTTAATTAACCCCATCATGATGAATGGAGGCTTGCTGCTCCAATTCTGTGTGTGTGTGTGTGTGTGTGTGTGTGTGGTGTGTACACATGCGTGTGTACACATGCTTCAGGATGGAGGGTTCTTTTGTGCTTTCGTTCCCCAGGTACCCCTTTCAGGAGGAACTCAGGTGAAGTTCTACTTTGGAAGTCTGCAGTTCTTAATAAACCCACCCCCTCCCCGAGTCCAGTCCAAGTGGCACCTACAGGAGCACCCAGCACAACAGTGTCCAGGGACTATGGCTTCTGCGCAGGTTCAACAGAAAGTGCCCTGCACCCTTCATGTGTGTTCAGCCACGTTCCCTGGGAGCCATTCCCAGGGTGTCCTCAGAGATTGAACCCATGCCCAAGGGAAACTGTATCTGACCTGATTGCTAAATCTGTTAACATGTTATAATTTGGGTTGTTGTTAATTTTAACTTTCTGTCCTCTAAAAAGTCAGTGCTTCCCTTTTCCAACTTTTGATTTTGATAGAATTTTTACTGACAAATAAATTACAGAAATTATACAATGAACTTCCATATATCCCTCAATTAGAAGTCAGAGCTACCAAGTGTTAGTGGTTAAACTCATGTACTTGCTCCTTCCTTCTTCGTTACCGTCTTGCTATACACACATACAATGCACTCACTCTTTAGGCATATACATAGTATATGATGTGTTTGAATGTGTGTATGTGTACGTTGTACATGTAAGTTTCTGTGTGCATGTATATATGTGCACATGTGTACATTGAATGCAAAGATGTGCATTTCTATATATTTACGTGTGTATATCTGTGTGTACTATGCGTGTACATCTGTGTATGTTTGCATATATATGTCCATTGTTTGTGTATATACATCTATGTGTACATATGTGCACATCTGTGCAAGGATATAACTTACATTGTGCACATGTGTATATCTATGTATATACATTGTGTGTATACACTTGTGTGTGTGTATATTGTATACATGTGCATCCACATTTTCTGATGAGCCACCATGGTAACCCATGACACTCGTCTTCTGACTGTCTTGGTGAGCACAATCTAGAATATGTACATCATCAAGGTCCACAGTGAGGTTTACACGTGGGAGCCTCTCCAGTCTTAGACATTCCATGCTCTGCTATAAGCCCCAGCTAAGGCCGCCACAGATCCTTCAGGCTTTATTTGTCTAAGTGTAGATGCAGTCAGGGTCCCCAAGGCACTTGTTTATCATGTCACCCAGGAGCCCAGCGGGCACGTAGGGCACATGTTTGCTTTCCCCTCACCGTCTAAATCCTGCTTTTGTTTTATGCAGGTGTCTTGTGGTCAGTTGTGATTGCCCTGAATCAGCCTGACTTTCCCATCAGCCTTTGCTGGCTGCCTATTTCCCAGCCTCCCCTGCAGCCAGGGTGGACTATGTAACTGACTAGTTTTGACTAGAAAGGTGTAAGGAGTTGTCCCTGAGGCAGGGCCTCTTGAACCTCCTTCTGTGCTGGTAAAAAAGACTGTACTTCAGGAAGTGCTTCCCACCGTCCCCACCTCCTTCCCTTCTGCTCTCTGCCTTTGAACTCAATTGAGATGCCTGGAGCTGTCCTAGCGACTTGTGACCAGAACATCCCAGGCACGAAGGCAAAGAATCACGTGCTGTGGATAACACAGCTGAGAGGTGGGAAGAGCTTTGCTCTACAACACTGGTCCTGAACTTCCACCTCCCACGGTGATGTCTAACTGCTTAAGGTACTGTCGAAAGCATTGCTAAGTGATAGGCCCTGAGAAACTTACAGACTCTGTGGAAATTATAGTGCACATGGGACTAAATACAACAGGGTTCAAAACCCAAGTAGCACTGTCTAAAGGGCCCTGAGAGCCAGGACACCTTACACAACCATTTTGAGCCCAAGTGCCTCAACTATCAAAAATCTCCCAAAACAGATGCCTGCGGGTAAGGCTGACCTTTGGAAAGATGGCCCTCCACCGCTTCCTGTAGTCAGTTGTGCATCCTACAAACATCCTCTGAGCACCTGCGCTAATCAGTTCATTCACTGGGCATTTTATGAGCACCCTGCAGGCATCTCACTGCTTGCTGGCCACACTGCTCAGCAGAGGGCGTTGTTCCCACTGGCCAGAAAAAGAAACTGAGGCTCACAGATATGGTACTGGCCTTCACGGGGCTGCCCAACCTCATGTGGGGGAGCCAGAGTCCACCCGCGGAGTGAGTATCAGCAGCAGGGGCTCTCACTGTGGGGCAGGGAGTGGCACAGGGGCCTGTAGCTTGTAGAGTCTCTGTGAGGAAGGACGAGACTGCTTCCCACTGCGCTGAGAAATGTGTTCCTCATTTCCATCCCACTTTATCAGATACAGAAACTGGATTATCTGCTCTGCTACTGGCTCAAGGTCATTATCAGCTCATAACCTCTGCTTTCAACTTCTCAGTCCTAATGGAGTTACACACCATCAGAGCCGGGCCAACCTGGTATACCCACATAGCCTGAGAGTCCTTATCTTTTCTAGGTCTTCAGCAAGAAGACGTAGGAAATCAGACACGGCCACTCCACATCCTGTTAGGAGAGCAGGGATGCCTACCAAATGCGGTGGGCACTCTTCTGCCCTACTCTGCAAAGAGAAACTGAGGCTGGAGGAGTAACACACTGGAGGCCACAGCTTGATTGTAGGATGGGGCTCAGGGAACCAGCCTCCCTGTGTGTCTGTGAGCCCAGAAACGTATCCCTCCCACTGACCTGCTGGGCTATTGTAGCTCTGGATTGGGCATCTCTCATCTGTGGTGTACTGTCTCAGGGTCTTGCAGCCACAGGGATTACATGGATAACGTTCTCGGACTTGCAAGCCTTGGTAAACAGGTGTTGTGGGCTCAGTCAGGGAAATGATAGTCGAGTTCAAGTGCAAGCCTGGTGTACGCAGATGACGGTAGAGGATTCCTTCTTCTCTGGACCTTGAAACAGCCCCCGCTGCAGAAGCACCAAGCGTCCACCTAGTTTAAAAGGAGGAACCTGCATTCTGGGGCAGGTAGAACGTTCCAGGGGATGGTAAACCCTTGTCCTTTCTAGGACTCAGTTTTCCCATGAGCACTTTGTTCCTGCTTTCAGTCGTCTCCAACTGAGCTCGGATAGCAAGATTGCTTCTCAAGCATCGTGGCGTACAAACCAGGCCTGAGAAATATTAGCTATAAATTTAATATAAATATTGGCTGCCTATAAAGAGTAGATAACTAAACAAGCCACCCCTGAAAAGGACAGGCGATGCCCCACCTTGCTTTCCATTGCTGTGATAAACACTATGACCAAATACAACCTGGGAAGGCAATGGTTTAGTTGGATTACAATGAGAGAAGATAGGGACTGAAGCAGGAACCCAGAGGCAGGAACTGAAGCAAAGGCCATGAAGTAACACTGTTCACTGGCTTGTTCCGCCCACTTTCTTGTATAACCTGGGGGTGTTCACAATGGCACCACCCATAGTAGGCTGAGCTTTCCCACATCAATCATTAATATGAAAATGCCCTCTATCCTTCCCTATGGCAAATCTGCTGTAGATCTTTTCTGAATTAAGGTTCGCTATTGCCAGATGACCCAAGCTTGTTTCAAGCTGACAAACGCTAGCCAGAGACAATGATAATAAACATACACCTTTGAGGTTCTTCCCAGACGTTCATGGTGTCCAGTGAATAGATAAGCAAATGGAGGCACAGAGAAAACACAGTTGTCCAGGAGTCACAGACATTTGGTGGTAGGCCCTGGTTCTCCAGGACGATACTCCTACATGGCCACTGACTGGGTGGATAAATGGATGGATGGATGGATGGATGGATGGATGGATGGATGGATGGATG